TTGCTTAACCTGTTGTGAGATTGTCTGGTACCCTTTCTAAAGTTTGCTTTCCTTCTTGTCCAAGATTGCACTGAATCCTAGATTCTGAACATTGTTTAGAAAATAATTCTTTAGAAATTACTATTGACTTTTACTGACTTTTTTTACTTCATAAGTGCTTTCCAGAGCAAAAGGTTTTGGTTGGATAACCCTGGTTGGTGTACTGTTATTCTTCAGTTGTCGTCCTTTTTAGGTTTGGCAGTGTCCTGTCCTTTGGCTTTTCCAAAAATTACATTACTGTGTCTTGAGAAGAAACCACTAATTATGTTAGCACTTGTGCTAACATCCCTTGGAACAGAAGCCATTAAGTCATTAAACTGTGTGTACTTTATTTCCCTCTCCATTACTTAACCCCTTGACATATGCATTCATGTATTCTTTCACATGCATTTAGTCAGATTTAGGGCCTGCTGTACTCTACAATATTTTTTTACTTTTTTGTAATTGTGAGAATACAATTTCAGTGTCTGAATCTAGTGTACCTATGTGAGGGGGATATTTTAAATGCTTTTTTAATTATAATTTATTCACACACTCTACAGTTTAATAAAATATGTAGATGTACATTTCAAAGTTAAGAGCAAACTTAAGAACAGAAATGTCATAAGGCAAGAAGGAAGGTTGCTGGCTTCGTACATGCTTTGTAAATCTGTGCATGTCTTGACATAGTTTATGTCGGTGGTGGTTGTTGGTCTTTTTACATTTCAAAAATAATATTCAAGAATAAACCATCCTGAAGAGAAGCAAAGGGGAGAGGCTGAAAGAGAGGGGAGGAAGCTAGAAAGGTATTTATTGAAGACTTTAGTTTGAAACAAGATGGCAACATAAAGAAATGTGACAAATGTAATTAAATACAGCCTGCTGAAATGAAAGGGCAGTTTAAAAACTGACAAGACTCAGAGAAGTTCAAGTTGTCATGCTTGGGTGGTGCCTAAAGCAGAAAAGAAAAGGCCAGTCTGCTTTAAGATGACAAAGACCAGGCCTCCCCAGCAGCATCATGGATGATAATTATATCAAACCAAATCTTGGCATTGAGTAAACAGGTAACACCAGTCTGGACTACAACCAGAAAAAAAAACTTTCATTTGGATAGCGTCAGGCACAAAATAAATACATTAATATAAGATTTGAGGCACAGTGATGCAGTGGTTAGCAATGCCACCTCGCAGCAAGAAGGTTCTGGGTTTGAACTTTCCGATGAGGGGCCTGTATGTGTGGTACTCCAAAGATATGCAGGTTAGGTTCACTGCCTGGTTGTCTGCCTGTGTCTTAGCCTTGTGATAGATGGTGCAATGGGTAACCTGTCCAGGGCGTATCCCACCTCTTGCCTAATGTCAGCTGGGATTGGCTTCAACCCCACCACAACCCTCTACAGAGAAAGTGGTATAGCTAATGGACTGAGATTTGAAGCAGCTGTTAAGAGAAATGACTCATCAGAGAGGGCTGAAGTGTTGGAATTTTCTCTGAACTGACAGACTTAATATCAGACAGTATCACACCTCATGGAGTAGTAAAAGAAGGGGCTGAGGCGAACTCAATGCCAGTCATTGCTGTTGTAGAACAGCTGTTGAAGGAACAATTAAAGCTCCATCCCTCCATTACAGCGTGGGTTGAGAGAACATGCTCATCTCATACTGAGATCTCCAACAAATACCTCATCAGGCGCAGAAGCAGGTAAGCTGATATAAGTAGATTATTCTTCTCATGTTTTATAGACCTTTGTTGCCCAAAAAACAATTAAAACACATTAATGAACATGGGTACTATTTAAGTCACTCCCATGCACAAACTCAATAGGGTGTTAAAGCCACAGATGAAAACAGTCCCCAACTAATATACTGTTTACCTCAGTTAAAATAACATTTACTCAGAAGTACCCAGCAATTTTAGGAACTCATGTAACCTTTTACAATCATATTTGCTTTGACCTTTGACCTACAAATTGTAATCAGTTCATCTATGCATCCAAGTGGATGTTTGTGCCAGATGTAATGAAATTCTCTCCAGGTGTTGCTGATATATCACCATCACAAGAATGGGATAGACGAACAGACAACCTGAAAACATAATGCCTCTAGCTGCAGCTATCACCGGCGTGGATGCATGACATGCGATTATTGAAATACTATCGAAAGGCTGCTTCTTAATACCTGATCATTTTGAATATTCATCAAGCTCTGTGTCTTGATTTTTGTGTCTCTGCATATGCTCTTAAAATTATCTTTGCTTTTGTATTTAAGCTTGTGAATGCATCTTCATTTTGTATGTACAGTGGGTACAGAAAGTATTCAGACCCCCTTAAATTTTTCACTCTTTGTTATATTGCAGCCATATGCTAAAATCATTTAAGTTCATTTTTTTCCTCATTAATGTACACACAGCACCCCATATTGACAGAAAAACACAGAATTTGACATTTTTGCAGATTTATTAAAAAAGAAAAACTGAAATATCACATGGTCATAAGTATTCAGACCCTTTGCTCTGTGACACTCATATTTAACTTAGGTGCTGTCCATTTCTGCTGATCATCCCTGAGATGGTTCTACACCTTCATTTGAGT